AGAAACGATGGCCCGGGCGGGATTCGATCCCTAGACTCCCTGGTGAGAGTCACGCACGCTTGCCAGTCAGCCAAAGGGACATCCCCTTGGCTAAGTAGCCAGGGCGCATGATCAATCGGGACACTGTGACAGGATGTTCACACTGCCACACTAGTATAAAAAGACCAATATACTTATAGCTCATAGTTTATGACCCAAGGGCTATAGACCTTGGTTTAACTCATTTAAGTCTAACCAGTACAGACTTAAATACCAATATCTGGCAAATACTGACAGCAAGAATTATACAGTGGCATTTATAACAAATACATGCACATAAATTGATGTTCACAAAATTTTGCATTATATGTATTTAGTATTTAGCACCCCCACCCCACCCCCCACTGAGTGTTGGAGCAGAGAGACAACTAAAATATGCTCGACACCGGCTTTCCAGGACCAGGATTGAGAACCACTGAGCTAGTACGTGTTTGAGCAAATATCAATAAGAGTTTTGTCTCCTACCACAATCCATGGATATTTTAAAAAATGTCACCTGAAACGGTTGCTTGGACTAAGTTTTAGCTGCAACTTTACAATGGTAGGAAGTGTGAATGATGGGTGTTGCTGCAAGTTAATTTAAAACAGGATGTTGAGGTCTGCCCAGATAGATGTCAGAAGGTCTGCATTTAGGTTCTTGTGAAACCTCTGTTCATGCGTCTCTCCCATTTGAAGCTGACAGAGAAGTATAAATCAGGCTTAAACCTGCAAGGGTTGGCATGTAGGCTTAAAGGACCAATATGTAAGATTTATGTAAAATAATATAAACAGTCTAATATCTTCATTTTGGAAGAATGGCTATAGGCTACAGTTTTCATTCTCAGTCAACTGGGGGGTTTGCCATTTTTTCTCCTTAAAAAAGCAAAAACAAAAGAGTGATGGTTGCTGTTTACAATCTGTGAATTGCCAAGTTTGCAGAGTCTGTTCTGAGCTAACGCTGCAGCAGTGGGATTTGAAATGTGACACTGGTGGGCAAAAAGCACCAGAGCTTTAAGAGCCAAAACCAGTAAACAGGATCAACCTAGAAGTTATTTCTTGTACCCCTAAGAAGCCACAGCATCATTTTGTTTTACTCTAATATCGGGTGAAGCAGGCTAGAGGCTAACTTTAAGCTAACAATGCCAGCTGTAAACTAGGGATGCACCGATCAGGTTTTTTGCTGCCGATCACCGATACCGATATCAAAGAATGCTGATCACCGATACCGATCACCGATACCGATCACGTGGATTGGCCAGAAATGTTCTACAACATTATAATGAGTGCTACAAACTACATAATCTGGGAATAAAGGAAATGTAACCTAATCTAAAATGGTCTGTATTAGGGTTGTCACGGTGTGAAAATTTAACCTCACGGTTATTGTGACCAAAATTACCACGGTTTTCGGTATTATCGCGGTATTTTTTTTAAACGTGCTACATTTTCACACAATTAAATAAACCCTGTATGTCAGGAAATATTGTCCTCAGTTTGTGTCTAAATTTAGCCTAAAATGTGTTATTTTGTAATTATGTTGTTTATTTGTTTACATTTTTCCCCTTTAGTCTTTAAAATACCAATATTTGCCCATAACTTCTTATTTTGTGTCTGTTTGATGTCATCATTTAAAAGTATTAGATCAGATAATACTCAGTACTCAAGTAGCCTTCTAATCAGATACTGTTTTACCCTTACTTGAGTAATAAACCCTATATCAGGAAAATGTTGTCCTCGGTTTGTGTTCTTCCAGTGAGCTTTGCAGATGTGGGAAAATGTCATCAGGCAGTAATCATTGTTAAATTCATAATTATTCTCGGAGAGAGACCAACTCTTATCTGCCCCTGGGAGCCCCGTAATGCATAGCGTCATTTCAACATGGGGGTGTCCGCGACACGGTTTATATGCAGGTAGCGGCGCTGCGGCTGCTTTATATAGCCACTTGTTGCATTCTCCCTCAACCCAAATCCTCGGATCACGCATTTTAGCTAAAACGCTAACGTTAGCTTGCCTTGCGTTGACTGTAGAGTTGTGGGTGATGGTCACGCAGATGTGTCATGAGATTTGAAGCGCTGCTGCCTTTCACAGACACTTTTTCTGCACGCGCTGCAAACAGGATAGCCGTCCGTCCGTCTTCTATAAACTGTCCCTCGGCATTCTTCAAATATCTAAAATATGCCCGTACTTCCGACTTTGTCTTCTTTGAGGGATAAAAAATGTCCTCCTGAGCGCTGCCGTCTCCTCCTTTGACCATTATTTCAGCTTTAGCTTCAAGAAAGTTTTGTTGTAAACAAAGCGTGCATGAGCCGCCGGCAACTTCAGCCGATGATACGGTGGCTGGTAAGGGTCACCGCGCCTACACCGCAGCCACGGTAAACCCACCAAGATAATATAGTTTTTTAAAAAACAAGACGGTTATTATTATTGTCAACTTTTTTTTTTTTACCGGGGTTTACCGCTACACTGGTTACCGTGACAACCCTACCTGATCGGTTTGCTTTGATCTATTTTGAAAATTCCGATCAAAACCGATATGGGCGCTATCGGCTGATTATGATCAAATGCCGATCCATCGGTGCATCCCTACTGTAAACTAGAAGCAAATAGTTGGCTCTGAAAATATCTCAAGCTAGTTTATCTATTACCAACAACTCAATGTTACAATAAAAAGTCTGTGCGAAGTGAATGAGTCAATCGAGGCGTTTTACTTCCATCAGTGCGTCTGTCAGAACCTAACAGCAAGACAGCCAATAACCACACTTCCTTTAAAGCCGGAGACATATTACTGTGGTAAGTGTAGTAAGTGTTCCCTACTGTAAAACACTCAAGAGTGCTTACACCAGATATGACTTAGGGCTGGGCGATACGGCCTAAAACCAATATCACGATATGTTGAGGATTTCACTTTGATAACGATAAATGGACGATAACTACAGGTATGTGCAGAAACTAAAGTTGTCCATTAGATGCGGCTGTTACGTGTATTACGTTGAGTCATATTTTCACATGACTTAAGATGGTACAGCTTCTTAAAAAGACATGAACGTTGCCAACCTACACACATCTTTTCAATTGTTATTATCAAATTTATTGACCTGAACCTCAGATTCAGGAGGAGCAATGTGGTTTTCGTCCTGGCCGTGGAACACTGGACCAGCTCTATACCCTTAGGGGGATCCTGGAGGGTGCGTGGGAATTTGCCCAACCAGTCTACATGTGTTTTGTGGATTTGGAGAAGGCGTTTGACCGCATCCCTCGGGGGGCCCTGTGGGGGCTACTCCGGGAGTATGGGGTACCAGGCCCTCTGATACGGGCTGTTAGGTCCCTGTATGACCGGTGTCGGAGCTTTGTCCGCATTGCCGGCAGTAAGTCGGGCTCGTTCCCAGTGAGAGTTGAACTTTGCCAAGGCTGCCCTTTCTCATCGATTCTGTTCATAACCTTTATGGATAGGATTTCTAGGCGCAGCCAAGGTGTGGAGGGCATCTGTTTTAGTGGCCTGAGGATCGGATCTCTGCTTTTTGCAGATGATGTGGTCCTGTTGGCTTCATCAGAACGTGATCTTCAGCTTTCGCTGGAGTGGTTCACAGCCGAGTGTGAAGCAGCTGGGATGAGAATCAGCTCCTCTAAATCTGAGACCATGGTCTTGATTCGGGAAAGGGTAGAAAGCCTTCTCCAGGTCAGGGATGAGGTCCTGCCCCAAGTGGAGGAGTTTAAGTATCTCGGGGTCTTGTTCATGAGTGAGGGAAAGATGGAGCGTGAGATCGATAGGCGGATTGGTGCTGCATCTGCAGTGATGCGGGTGTTGTACCGGTCTGTCGTGGTGAAGAGAGAGCTGAGTCAGAAGGCGAAGCTCTCGATTTACCGGTCGATCTACGTTCCTACCCTCACCTATGGTCATGAGCTTTGGGTAGTGACTGAAAGAAAGAGATCACTGATACAAGCGAAATGAGTTTTCTCCGAAGAGTGGCTGGGCTCTCCCTTAGAGATAGGGTGAGAAGCTCAGTCATTCAGGAGACCCGCTGCTCCTCCACATCGAGAGGAGCCAGTTTAGGTGGCTCGGGCATCTGGTCAGGATGCCTCCTGGACGCCTCCCTGGTGAGGTTTTCTGGGCACGTCCAGCCGGGAGGAGACCTAAAGGTAGACCCAGGACACGGTGGAGGGACTATGTCTCTCACCTGGCCAGGGAACGCCTTGGGATTCCCCCAGAGGAGCTGGCCCAAGTGGCTGGGGAGAGTGAAGTTTTGGCCTCTCGCCTTAGGCTACTGCCCCCGCGACCCGACTCCGGATAAGCGGATGAAAATGGATGGATGGATGGAAATTTAGTGACATGGGAAATTTTATCCCGATAAGTCAGAAATTTTGATAACAATAAATTTACGATTTATTGCCCAGCCCTATTACACCCTTATCTTCCTTAGGTGGTCTGCATAGCTCTTGCGGCCTCTGGAAAGCTAGCCACATCCCCACACCACATTCCAGCTGTTGCCATCTGGCAAAAGATTCAGGAGCATGTTAAGCTAGGACTATAAGACTCGAACAGTTTCTACCTAGTAGCTGTTACTAAACACCACCTACCCTCCTCCAGTGTACGCCTCCCTGGTGCAACATGGTTTGTGACTGAGTGACTATTTTGTGCAAGAAGATTTCAGCCTGCAGCGACTTTAAATTTACCTTTTCAACCTTACTCTGTTTACGCCCCTCACTAATTTATATTCTTCATTTTGTTTTTTTCTCTGAGCTCCGTAGGGACTGGAGCATGTTTCCATGACCAAATATTCATTTAGGCCTTTATTTCATTCATATGTCAAATGTAAGCAGTGGTAGTAATATTATTGGCATTTTTGTTTCAGCAGGAGCAGATAAATGGTATTTAAAGTCTTGTTTTGTTACGCTGATACTGTCGGACATGTTTTTATGGTTAGAATTTTTTCAGCGTGTGTTCGTTATCATTGTCCTCACCTGTGTCCGGTGTGTTTGTGCAGACGTGCCGGCGCCGGAGCAGCCGGAGCTGTTCCTGAAGAAGCTGCAGCAGTGCTGTACTGTCTTTGACTTCATGGACACGCTGTCGGACCTCAAGATGAAGGAATATAAGCGCTCCACGCTCAACGAGCTGGTGGACTATGTGACTGTCAGCCGGGGCTACCTGACAGAGCAGGCCTACCCTGAGGTTGTCAAAATGGTGAGCAGAACCAACGTGTGCTTCGCCATCAGACCGTCCACCACATTTCTGCCCCCAAATCTAGACAACCTTAGTGATTCTGAAAGGAGGAATGAAAGATGTTCAAGACTGAATTTGACAGTTTATTAGCAGATGTTGCATCTGAGTAGTCAAACGCAGGTCTTTGTGCTGCAATGGTCAGAAGCTGTGATACTTCATTTGTTATTCATTATTTATGAATAACACACACACACACACACACACACACACACACACACACACACACACACACACACACACACACACACACACACATGCACACAGTTCTGTGTTGTTCTTGATGGAAAACCCACCGTCGTTTTTAAACTAACATGTATTTAAATACATGTTTTCTCCCTAGAAGAAGCTACAATGATGTTCTGCTGAGCTGTGGTGACCTCATGGAGGGGGCCATCGTCTAGCACACTGCTGCTAACCACTTAAACTTTCTCCCTCTACTGATAATAACTTTTTGCTTTCCTTGACGTTGGACGTGTTACTGCTAGTTTACCTGTTTAAAAATAGATTCACTAGGATAAATACAATAAATATGATCTCTCGCCAAATAGAATATTTACTAAGACATCACAATGTAACCATAGACACATTGCTTGGTGTGTGTGTGTGTGTGTGTGTGTGTGTGTGTGTGTGTGTGTGTGTGTGTGTGTGTGTGTGTGCCTGCTCTGTCTTCTTGATCCCCAGTGAGTCGTGGAGGATGGCTGCTTATACTGAGCCAGGGTTCTCTGGAGGTTTCTTCCTGTTAAAAGGGAGTTTTCCTCTCCACTGTCGCTATATGCTTGCTTATTATGAGGATTGCTGTATAGTCACTGACACTAGTCAGTGACTTGTTGCAATTTGCTGGGTTCCTTATATAGGAAACATTATTTCTGATTGGCTTAATGAACTGACCTGAATTGGAATGTTTCTTATGTGAAGTGCCTTGAGACGACTCTTGTCGTGATTTGGCGCTATATAAATAAACTTGAATTGAATAGAATTGAATTTAGTTATGCGCTTCCTCTTAATTTGTTCCAGGTGTCTCACAACATTTTTCGGACCCTCCCACCCAGTGACAGTAATGAGTTTGACCCTGAGGAGGACGAGCCCACACTCGAGGCTTCCTGGCCACACCTACAGGTAAAATCAGTCCTGTTCCATTTAGAAACGGGAAGAGTATCGTGCTGATGTCGACTCACCCCCCCAGCATCTCTCCATCCTCGGACTCAGACTTTTTATTAGCACCGTAAATAGATCTGGAAGTAAACATGCTGTGTTTGGATGTTGAAAATGATGATGACCACAGCAGAACCAGTCAGAGTAAACTTACCCACAATTCCTCCAGATGACTCCTCTAACTTGTACGATTCCGATGAGATGTTTGTTTGTAATTAAGATTAGATGTTCAGTTCAGTAAACAATTATCTGGTTGTTTAGATCAGTAGTTTGTAAAACCGTGTTTACACAACCTTTGGACTGAAAACGCTACATGAATGAAACATTTCAGCTGATTACGTTTCCTTTCTCCAGTTGGTATACGAGTTCTTCATTCGTTTCCTGGAGAGTCAGGAATTCCAGCCCAGCATTGCCAAAAAGTACATAGACCAGAAGTTTGTCCTACAGGTGAGCTGCTGAAGTCGTTACTTCCTGTCCTCCTCGGGCTTTCTGTTGTTTATTCCTTCTGCCAACTCCTGATTCACTCTCCTGCCTGTTTAGCTTTTGGAGTTGTTTGACAGCGAGGATCCTCGAGAGAGAGACTATCTGAAGACCGTCTTGCATAGAATCTATGGCAAATTTCTGGGGCTGAGGGCTTTTATACGAAAACAGATCAATAATATTTTTCTACGGTAAGTAAAAACGACATTCGCTTATGGTCGAGTTTCTTTTGTGTGTGTCTGTGAAGCCAACGTGACCTTTCTCCTGTCCCTTCTCCGTTCTTCTCCCCGTTCCCAGTTTTGTTTATGAGACGGAGCACTTCAACGGGGTGGCTGAGTTGCTGGAGATCCTGGGGAGGTATGTGGACCCAGACGGCCGGCCTTGTGTGAGATTTAGAGCTCAACGCTGCTCTCATGTTTAGGCTTTTCTGTGGGTTGACGGTGGAGACTGTTCCACATTTATGGAAAAGCAAACCAGGAGAAAGAAATGAACCATTAAGAAATCCTGCAGTTTTCCTGCTGTGTAGAAACTTAGACTTGCAGGTGAATTTACCAGAGGAAAAGATCAATAAAAGTTTGGTTTTCTATGAAAAGTACAACTTTGTATTGATGACATAAAAACAACCTGAGCCAGAACCGCCTCAGTCTGGTTTATTTGGCTGATAAGGTTCTAGCTTATCTTCTTTAATTGGTTCTATGCTAGCTGGGAGCTTTTATCTGAGAAGGAGAAGTGTAACATACATCTAGACATGTAGGAGATGGACTCCTGGACCCTAAAGACGGACGTGCTGCAGAAGCTCGTAGAAGCTGCTTTAGCAGCGTTCTCTGTCGGACCTGATTGCTCTCACCTTCTTTTAGTCCACTCTGCTTTGTGAAGCTGCCAATACTTAGGGACTCAGAAGAGTTCCTTGTTAGTGACGGCTAGGGTTGGGCATCGAGCATCGATTGGAACCAGTTCCAACTGTTACTTTTTCCCCGAATCGTTCAAAGTTTTTTTGTTTGATTCCTAGAATGCCGACGGAAGAGGAATCTGTGGCCGATCTTCGTGAAAAATAAACGTGATCTGCAAATTGTGATCAACGCTTTTCAGAGACGATCACACCAGCTGTCTGTGAGCAGCACGAGGCCCCGCCCCCCACCCAGATATAAACAAACGCGTCTGCCGAACTTTTACTCCGTAACGTAAACTTTAACTCCTGCAGCGTAGAGGAAACGTGTTAAATACGTCAACACGGTGGATTTAATAGAAGCTTTAAAGAACAAACTCTGGATGTGTGAGGTGAGTTTGTCTCACTGCAGAAATAAAAACACACACGGAGCGTCAGCAGGGGTGTGTGTGTGTGTGCGTGCGTGCGTGCGCGAGCGAGCGAGCGCGCGAGAGCGTCAGAAGGCTGAACAATAACCAGTAGAATAATTAAAGTCATCATGCTAGAGCAGCTTCTCTGTGGTGGACCACACCAGCTTCTGGCACAATAAATAATAATAAATAATAATAATAATAAACGTTTTAATTTCATTTATGAACTATTTCTGTTGAGTTTTAATGCTTAAATCTGTTAGATTGTTACTGACAGCAGCTACATTTAAGTTTAAGTTCCTGTTGTGACTGAACGCTGCAGCAGCATGGAGGTGTAGTTCTCAGTCATCCTGGATATGATCATCCTGAGAGTTTTAGCTGAAAACAGCTGGACGTTTCTGGATATGTTGGAGACATTTAGCCTCTCATCCCAGAGGCTGCTTCCAGACTTTGGTTGTGGTCAGAAACAAACACACTGGTTGTGCTGCAAGTCTTTTTCTTTTTGTCTCCAAAACATGTTTGTGTCTAAATGAAGGTGATGTTGTTGTTCATAGAATTGAAATTCATGTTGAAGTTAAGATTATTTTATCAGTAGGACCTGTGGTTAGCTGGCTCATGTAAACAGGTCATGTCTGGAAAGAATCGGAATTGTTCGAAATCAAATGATGCCCAACCCTAGTGACTGCACCACAGGCCCAAATCATCATCACTCCAACACCGTGCTCTCGGCTGGTTTTAGGTGTTTCATCTGATCTGCTTCACTCTAAGCATGGCAGTGTGGCTTATGGACAGTTATATTTTATAAAACAGGACCCAGTTTTACGTACGAATGTAATAAATTATCCCAAAGGGAAGATGGTTTGATCATTTTGAGTCTTTCAATATGGAGGTGTGTTTGTGCGTGTGTGTGTGTGTGTGTGTGTGCGCACGCGCGTGCGTGTGTGTGTGTGTGTGTGCGTGTGTGCCTGCTCTGTCTTCTCCATCCCCAGTGAGTCGTGGAGGATGGCTGCTTATACTGAGCCAGGATCCTCTGGAGGTTTCTTCCTGTTAAAAGGGAGTTTTCCTCTCCACTGTCGCTGCATGCTTGCTTAGTATGAGGATTGCTGTAAAGACTCTGACACTAGTCAGTGACTCGGTGCAATTTGCTGGGTTCCTTAAGTATGAAACTTTTAGCTAATTGGCTTGATGGACTGAACTCAACAGGAATGTTTACTGTGTGAAGTTTATTGATACGACTCTTCGTGATTTGGCGCAAAATAAATAATTTGAATTGATTTCATCAGTCTTTGTTTAGATAATGTACTTAGTTATGGTTCTCCACACACACACACACACACACACACACACACACACTGGAACACAGTGTAACTGATGTCTGCTCTGTTTCTCTCTCCCAGTATAATCAATGGTTTTGCTCTGCCGCTGAAAGCAGAACATAAACAGTTTCTGGTCAAAGTGTTGATCCCCCTCCATACCGTCAGGAGCCTGTCCCTTTTCCATGCACAGGTAATTCAGTTTCTTTCTACTACAACCAACCTGCTACGGATACTTGACACCCGCATTAGTAGTTATAAGCTCCTAAATATGCTTTTCAAAAGGAGCTTAAGCGTGAGTTTTAAATGTGTTTGCGTTATTTTTGTAGAGTTTAAACCACAGAGGTGGATGTTTAGGATTAGCTCTGATAAGACTGGGTTAGGGGAAGGTCTTCAGTGTTTTCATTCCAAACAAACAGAAAAATCCCTCATCTCAGATGCTGTAGCACCTTTGTGACCCTGTTGTTTCTGTTGTTGCAGTTGGCGTATTGCATTGTACAGTTCTTAGAGAAAGACCCGACATTAACGGAACCAGTAAGTATCGCTGCACTGTTTGTTGTTTTGTGCTAGGCCTGGGCAATAAATCAATTTCATTAATTAGTTCAATTTTTTGTTGCGGGCGATAAAAAAAAAGTATATTGAATGTTTATGTAACAGCGCCTTTTTGGCCCCCCGGAGCTCCCGTAGCATTAGTTGCACATAACCGCGACAACGTCCCAGCACGCACACCAAACGGCAACAGCAAGTGACTCCATGACTACCGGTGAGAGCGGGAAGTTTGATCCTAAGAAAGGAATGACATCATCCGTTGGTAGGATCAGGTTTGGGTTTGCTTCGACGGACGTGGAGCTTTTATTCACATTTATTCATTATCCATCTTGGCGATGAGGCTTACATTTGTCTTGCTTGTGATTACGTACAGAACAGAATTGGCTTTAAGGCGCCTTCCATTTGTACTTATTGCTATTCTTAATAATTGAGAGGGAGAGAAAATCGGTAAAAATCGTAAATCAAATAAAAAACATATCATCAGATTTTTAGGCCGTATCGCCCAGCCCTATTTTGTGCTGAATATTACACATTTATTTCTCCTGGCATTATCTGTGCAGTGTTGTATCAAAGCGGAGCTCCTCACCACACTCAGTTATCCACACATGTTCAGATGCTTGTACTTTAAAGGCAGTGTGTGCTATTTTTACTTGTTTACTATCAAATTCTGTGTACCATGCTCACAAAATTGTCCTTTTTCATTTTTTTTCTCACCAAAGTCTATTCTAAAAACTTCTATTTGATGGAAATGTTACATTTTTATATACATAACCCGTGGTTGACTTTGCGGAGTCATGCTCCATCTTGAAAGACCGTAGCTGGTTAGGGACATGCCGCATTTTGCTTTTGCGCTATGACGTGAAAGTCCTTCTTCCTCTAAACGTGCGGGGTGGTGCCGGTCCTCTTCGCGACAGTCTTGCTGGTTTGGGGAACCTCTGCTCCTTCTCCCTGGGTTGCTTGCCCTGCTCTAACCACATGTGATGTCTGGAAGTCATTTGTAACTGTGACGAAGCACGCACGGCTGTGGGGGACGGAGACGAGTGACGTAGCGGCGGCGCTGGAGCAGCATCTGAAAGTGGCAGATCAGTCTCGTTCTACATATCCTCACGTGGACAGAGGCCTCATTAAACCATGTGACTGTAGGAAGCAGCAGAAACGGTAAAAGGCCTGTATTTGTATAGAGCCTTCTTAGGGTTCTACAACCCCCCCAAGGCGCGTCACAACACAGTCAGTCATTCACCCATTCATCCACACGTTCACAGACTGGTGGTGATGAGCTGCGATGTAGCTACAGCTGCTCTGGGGTTCACTGACAGAGGAGAGGCCTCTATTCATTCTGTGTTTGTCTTCGTTATCAATTTTCTTGTTCTTTTTATACAGTTTAGTAAAAAATATGTTTTTTCCTGACATGTTTCGGCTAATGCCTCTAGCCATCATCAAAACTCGCCGGTGTTGGTGGCGTCACTTCCTTTTGTCCACGTGCAGCAGAGAAATAAGGGAGACGTGGCACAAAACCGTGAACAGAGACGATGGAGTATTCACGTTGGATCATGCACGGGACAGTGTCCTCAGCAAGGAGGGAGCCGGCGTCCTCTGCTGCCCGCGGATCAAAGGAAGTGACGCCACCACCACCGGTGATCTCTGATGATGACTAGCTGAAACATGTCGGGTAAAAAAAATATTTTTTTTTTACTAAACTTTGTCAAAAAAGAACAAGAAACTGGAGGCGAGGCTTGCCAAACACAGGCGCCACCGGTTCCTCCGACCACCACCAGCAGGCAAGGCACGTTAAGTGTCTTACCCAAGGACACAACAACAGCATTCTCTGGTCGGAGACAGGTTTGAACCTGCAACTTTCCGAATACCGGACAACCCGCTGTACCTCCTGAGCTCCTGCTGCCCTAAATAGTACTAAATACTATAATAAAGCGTGCAGACGGTTGAGAGCTGGTGTGTGGTGTTTTCACTTGACCTTTGGATGCATGTGTGCTACGGTAGCGGCGATACCTGCTCTGAACTGTGTGGCGCTCAGGTTTCCAGGACTTTTACACACCTGGGCTTTAAATACTTCTCAGTATGCAGTTTCCAACAGATGGCATGGTGTCTTGTCTGACCTAGAAATGTATTCTTTTGCTAACTGTCTGATCTGCTTATAAATGATGGTCTCTGTCTTCATCCTCAGGTCATCAGAGGCTTACTGAAGTTTTGGCCAAAGACCTGCAGTCAAAAAGAGGTGAGACCATTTCAGAGTCACATCTCTGTACGTGTGTGTGTGCATGTGTGTAGTAACATGTCCCTCCGCCACACGGTGCTCCAGGTGATGTTTCTAGGTGAGCTGGAAGAAATCTTGGACGTCATCGAACCCACACAGTTCGTCAAGATCCAGGAGCCACTTTTCAAACAGATCTCCAGATGTGTCTCCAGCCCACATTTTCAGGTGAGTGCTCCTGTTCTGTCAGGCAAGCTGACTCTGGATCAGCTAAAGGAGAGGTGTAGAAGCATGTTCATGAGTTCTGCTGTGTGGAGACGTGTCTCAGGACGTGTCCGTCTCCTCGCAGGTGGCAGAGCGAGCTCTCTACTACTGGAACAACGAGTACATCATGAGTCTGATCGAGGAGAACTCCAGCGTCATCCTGCCCATCATGTTCGCCAGCCTCTACAGGATCTCCAAAGAGCACTGGAACCCGTGAGGAACTGCTCTAACTTCATTTTCTACCTTACAGCTAGTATTAGTGTTTACCGGGTAGTATTAGGGTTTACTGGTTAGTATTAGTATTAGTGTTTACCGGGTAGTGTTAGTATTAGGGTTTACCGGCTAGTATTGGGGTTTAACTATTAGTATTAGGGTTTACCGGCTAGTATTAGGGTTTACCGGTTAGTATTAGTATTAGTGTTTACCGGGTAGTGTTAGTATTAGGGTTTACCGGTTAGTGTTAGTATTAGTGTTTACCGGCTAGTATTAGGGTTTAACTGTTAGTATTAGGGTTTACCGGCTAGTGTTAGTTTTAGAGTTAGTATTAGGGTTTACCGGCTAGTATTAGGGTTTACCGGCTAGTATTAGGGTTTACCTGTTAGTATTAGGGTTTACCAGTTAGTATTAGGGTTTACCGGCTAGTGTTAGTATTAGGGTTTACTGGCTAGTATTAGGGTTTACCTGTTAGTATTAGGATTTACCGGCTAGTGTTAGTATTAGGGTTTTCGGTTAGTATTAGGGTTTACCGGCTAGTGTTAGGGTATAACTGTTAGTATTAGGTTTTTCCGGTTAGTGTTAGTATTAGTGTTTACCGGCTAGTATTAGGGTTTAACTGTTAGTATTAGTGTTTACCGGCTAGTATTAGGGTATAACTGTTAGTATTAGGTTTTTCCGGTTAGTGTTAGTATTAGTGTTTACCGGCTAGTATTAGGGTTTAACTGTTAGTATTGGTGTTTACCGGCTAGTGTTAGTGTTAGTGTTTACTGGCTAGTATTAGGGTTTAACTGTTAGTATTAGGGTTTACTGGTTAGGGTTAGTATTAGGGTTTACCGGCTAGTATTAGGGTTTAACTGTTAGTATTGGTGTTTACCGGCTAGTGTTAGTGTTAGTGTTTACCGGCTAGTATTAGGGTTTAACTGTTAGTATTAGGGTTTACTGGTTAGGGTTAGTATTAGTGTTTACCGGCTAGTATTAGGGTTTAACTGTTAGTATTAGGGTTTACTGGTTAGGGTTAGTATTAGGGTTTACCGGCTAGTATTAGGGTTTAACTGTTAGTATTAGGGTTTACCGGCTAGTGCAGGGGTGTCAAACTGATTTTAGCTCAGGGGCCACATTGAGGGAAATCTAGTCCCAAGTGGGCCGGACCGGTAAATTAAAAACAACTTCAGATTGTTTTCTTTGTTTAAATACAATCAAAATAAAACAAGGCTGGAGCCTGAGGACAGTGTATCCAAAATAGTACAAGTACAACACCTGAAGTGTACTTGAAAATTTGGGGGGAAAAAAAAAAATCAATAAATTCAAAAAACATTCCTTAGTCATTCAAAGAGCTTACAGATCACATGGCTAGATCAGTTTCATGCAGCACTTAAAGTATATTTGACTCATTTTACTTTACATCTTTTAGCTTTCACCAGCACATCGATATCAGAAGTCACATCCTGAGTGGCGGCCAACTTCAGGATGTGATTCAAGTTTTTGTGTGAGCCTTGAGCGCAGCTTTGTTTTATTTATACTCATTACAGAGAAAACTTGCTCACAAAGATATGTTTATTTTCACTCTACATTGTAAAGTATGAAAATAAAGTTTACACAACCATCACCTAACCCATCCGGCCCGCAAGCGGGTTAAATCCGGCCCGCGGGCCGTAAATTTGACACCCCTGGGCTAGTGTTAGTTTTAGAGTTAGTATTAGGGTTTACCGGCTAGTATTAGGGTTTACCTGTTAGTATTAGGGTTTACCGGCTAGTGTTAGTATTAGGGTTAGTATTAGGGTTTACTGGCTAGTATTAGGGTTTACCTGTTAGTATTAGGGTTTACCGGCTAGTGTTAGTATTAGGGTTAGTATTAGGGTTTACCGGCTAGTATTAGGGTTTACCTGTTAGTATTAGGGTTTACCGGCTAGTGTTAGTATTAGGGTTAGTATTAGGGTTTACCGGCTAGTATTAGGGTTTACCTGTTAGTATTAGGGTTTACTGGCTAGTGTTCGTATTAGGGTTAGTATTAGGGTTTACCGGCTAGTATTAGGGTTTACCTGTTAGTATTAGGGTTTACTGGCTAGTGTTCGTATTAGGGTTAGTATTAGGGTTTACCGGCTAGTATTAGGGTTTACCTGTTAGTATTAGGGTTTACCGGCTAGTGTTAGTTTTAGGGTTTTCGGTTAGTATTAGGGTTTACCGGCTAGTGTTAGTATTAGGGTTTTCGGTTAGTATTAGGGTTTACCTGTTAGTATTAGGGTTTACCGGCTAGTGTTAGTATTAGGGTTAGTATTAGGGTTTACCGGCTAGTATTAGGGTTTACCGGCTAGTGTTAGTATTAGGGTTTTCTGTTAGTATTAGGGTTTACCGGCTAGTGTTAGTATTAGGGTTTTCGGTTAGTATTAGGGTTTACCTGTTAGTATTAGGGTTTACCGGCTAGTGTTAGTATTAGGGTTTTCGGTTAGTGTTAGGGTTAACCTGTTAGTATTAGGGTTTACCGGCTAGTGTTAGTATTAGGGTTTTCGGTTAGTATTAGGGTTTACCTGTTAGTATTAGGGTTTACCGGCTAGTGTTAATATTAGGGTTATTATTAGGGTTTACCGGCTAGTATTAGGGTTTACCGGCTAGTGTTAGTATTAGGGTTAGTATTAGGGTTTACCGGCTAGTATTAGGGTTTACCTGTTAGTATTAGGGTTTACCGGCTAGTATTAGGGTTTACCTGTTAGTATTAGGGTTTACCGGCTAGTGTTAGTATTAGGGTTTTCGGTTAGTATTAGGGTTTACCTGTTAGTATTAGGGTTTACCGGCTAGTGTTAGTATTAGGGTTAGTATTAGGGTTTACCGGCTAGTGTTAGTATTAGGGTTAGTATTAGGGTTTCCCGGCTAGTATTAGGGTTTACCTGTTAGTATTAGGGTTTACCGGCTAGTGTTAGTATTAGGGTTTTCGGTTAGTATTAGGGTTTTCGGTTAGTATTACGGTTTACCGGCTAGTATTAGGGTTTACCTGTTAGTATTAGGGTTTACCGGCTAGTGTTAGTATTAGGGTTTTTGGTTAGTATTAGGGTTTACCTGTTAGTATTAGGGTTTACCGGCTAGTGTTAGTATTAGGGTTAGTATTAGGGTTTACCGGATAGTATTAGGGTTTACCTGTTAGTATTAGGGTTTACCGGCTAGTGTTAGTATTAAGGTTTACCGGATAGTATTAGGGTTTACCTGTTAGTATTAGGGTTTACCGGCTAGTGTTAGTATTAAGGTTTACCGGATAGTATTAGGGTTTACCTGTTAGTATTAGGGTTTACCGGCTAGTATTAGGGTTTACTGGTTATTTCTCAAAGAGATAAAGTTATGATGCACTTGAATAAAACTTTAATGTGGATGCTTTTTGGCACTGGTCAGTGACATCACTCACTACCAAAGCAGTTGTGAGATTCTGGCATCTGTCATGAAAAAGCTGAATTTGTAAGGAGGCACAGCGGCCATCTTATCTCCAGGTCAATTTGCCCACTCCCAGAAGTTTTCTGAACTTCCTTTTGTGGAAACATGGCTAACGTTTAGGTTTAGCTTTTGTTAGTTTCCCCAGGCTGACATCAAAGAGTGCTTTAGATTGTTTATGCTAAGGCAAAGCTAAAAGAGTACTGCCGGATCAGGCTGGGCTGGTATCTTACTGTGTGGAACAGGGCAACAGACAACTTTTAACTTAGTGGTGAAATATCCCTGATACACTAGATGGCACTCAACAGCCTTCCTCGTGTCTTTTCTGGGGGACATTAACTGTGAACTCTGTCTCAGGGCGATTGTGGCGCTGGTGTACAACGTCCTGAAGGCCTTCATGGAGATGAACAGTACCTTATTTGATGAACTCACAGCCACTTACAAGTCAGACCGTCAGCGGTAAGAAACTACTGGTGGTGTGTGTGTGTGTGTGTGTGTGTCCGTCAAAAAAGTCCTACAGGCGTGGAAAAATAGTTGATATCTTTTTGTTAAAGGAAGAAAAACCCACTAAGGTCAAAATAAACCAGGACTAAATGGTTGAAACACAAGAAAATGTGTCTGCGGGGGCATTAGACTCAGCATCTCCGGTGTCTTCAGTCAGTCTGCCCATTTACAGGTTGAGAGGTGGTCACAGTGCTGTTGGGTATCTAGGTGTGTACCACACTGGACATGGACAGGAAGCTGAGGACACAGTTGTCTCAGAAGTTTAGATGCACTATTATTAGGGGTGTAATGGTTCACGAAGGGCGTAGAACCGATTCAGTTTGGTCCACTTTCGTACTGTTTCGGTTTATTATTTCAGTTAAACAATGAATTTTTATTTGTGTGATTTAATTGCAGCGGATAAAAGTTCCTAGGCGAGATTCGGCACAGACGCTGTATTGAGTGACGCATGTAGGCAGTACGCGCCCGGTCTCCGTTTAAAAATGTGATCTGCTAATTCTGATCAACGCCTTTCAGAGCGGATCGAGCCAGCTGGCTGTCGCTGCTGCTGTGGAGCCCGTAGAGACGCCGAACGAAGCGTTGCATCGCCCCTCCCCTCTTTTTCTCACACTGCAGACACGCAGCAGCGAAAATGCAAACACGTTCTGAACTTCCCCCTGGGACAACTGATGCAAAGTTTTCATCCTACAACCAAAATACGGAGTGCAGGAAACTCGTTATTTAATACGAGTTTGAAGAAGAACCTCCGGGTGTGAGGGGAGTTTTTAAGTTCTGGGAGACCGGAGTTTAAATCCGATCGGGTCACATCATACCATACCAAGTTTATTTATAAATCACATTTAAAAACAGCATGACAGCGGACCAAAGTGTTGTACAGTAGTAATAAAAAGGAAAAACCCCAAGATAAAAACAAGATAAAGAGCATATAGGAGATAAAAGGGATAACCTAAAAATTTAAAAGAAACATACTAGAGTAAAAAAAAAAAACAAAGTCACAATAAAAACATAAAAACAATAAAAGCTCGGTCTTTGATCAAAAGTTAAATGATAGAAGTCGGCCTTCAGTACAGACTTGAATCGACCCTGTGACGGGGCCTGTCCAACACTAAGGGGGAGAGCATTCCAAACGCAAAGGCCCGCTCCCCACGAGATTTATACTTTATTTTTGGGACGCACAAAAGCAAGTGATCTGCTGATCTCAGGGTTCTGGGTGGAACATGGGGCTTAAGCCTGATTTATGCTTCTCCATCTGCGTCAGTGCGGAGACACGCAACGCCATTATCCGTCCTTGCGTAGGGCTCCGGCAGACACGCAAGTACGTACGGAGTCGAGCCCACTTTTTTAAACATCCGTCGAACGAAACGGATTACGCAAGCTTGTGATTGGTCAGGACGCCGCTGTTGTTTACAGCGCCGCCATTGCAAAGAGAGCCGAGGATAACTAGCAGCAGACACGGAGAAGCTTGAAGAATACCTCGCGAAAAAACTCTAAAAATATGAACGTTTAATTCTCCCGTGACTGGAGGAGTGAAAAGATGTGCAGCAAGCGTTTTATTTGTGGACGGAGATGACAGGAAACGTGGGTTTAGAGGTGGGGAGCGCATGAGGAGGTGGGAGAATGAGAGACAAATATGTCCGTGTTAAAAGTCTCTTATATACACAAAAAACACAATATAAACACACTATCTTGGACCGATACATGACAGGATACCACAGAACAGCGCTACGCCCTCTGTTGTCCTGCCGAGGAATTGCTTTGCAACACTCTCCAGGAGACGGAGAAGTAAAAGAGCAAAACTCTTCCGCCAATCCGTGCGTGTCTGTCCCTTGCGGAGCTGACGGAGAAGCATAAACCAGGCTTTAAGCAGTTCTGACAGATAAGCAGGGGCTTGACCATTCAGGTGTTGTAAACAAAGGTTAAAACCTTAAACTGGATAAGCAGTTGATCTAGAGTGGACAGGAACAGCTGTGGACAGGTGTTCCTTCAGAAAGAGTTGTGGGTGTTCTTCCTTTAACAGAAGGTTCCTCCTGCTTCCTCCACATCCGATACGTCTGACGGTTTCACGTCTGATTAAATCTCTTATTTTGTCCTAAATAAAAGGAGCAGCAGACCTAAATAGTGATGAAGCCTCTGACGACCGTTAGGGGGTGGTTGAGTCACCCTGCTCCGCATTAGGACAGCTCCCTGACCCTGACCTCCATGTTGTTTTAGTGAGAAGAAGAAGGAGAAGGAGAGGGAGGAGCTGTGGAAGAAGCTGGAGGACCTGGAGCTGAAGAGGGGCCTTAGGAGTGACGGGATCATCCCAACTTAACGAAGACCGCGCTGCGCTCCCCCACGTCTGACTCCCGCTCTTCGTCCCGACCCCCATCAGCCATGTCTGCCCCAGAGCTCCTGATACTGGGTCCACGCAGAGAGGCCGCTGGTTTCTTAATTGTTTTGTTTTCTTATTTTTTCTCCTGTGTTTGTGCAACTTACTTTACAGTAGATTCATACGTCTGTTTTCATTACTCCAGCAGCACTGTAAATAATTATTTTCTTTTTCCCTTCAACTGATATTATTGCAAATAGATAAACAAAACAATAATGATAATAATAATAAAAAGAAGAAAACGTAGAAAATGATGAGAAAATGACTTGTGTGGGACGTGGATTCAAACCGACAACCCTCTCTGGACTGTAGGACATTTGAACTCACGAGAAAAAAAAAAACGTAAAAAAGAAGCTGGATTGTTTTGAACACCTCCTCTCTCGCCTCCTCTTCAGCTGTCCCACATGTAACTTTGTTTTCCTGGTTGTCCTCTCTGCCGTTCTGCTGCCGCCGTCCGGACCGGTTGGAACACCTCTTAATGACGCCTCCAGCCGTGCATCTGCCCTCTGAGTGTGTTTACATGCACATGCGAGAAAACGCTCACCTCTAGCTTTAAACCTGAAACGTCTACAAAGGGCGTAGTGAGTTAGTAACCACGATGTTCAGGATAAGGGACTAAAATAGTTTTTCATTTCCTACATTCCTGGAGTCCAGTTTGATTTCAGCCGTTTCATGTTTTTGTTTCACAGCTGGAAAAAACAGCCCGTCACCTTTTACCCAGAAACCTGCAGCGGAGCGGTTTAATTCTCTAGTGGGCGATCACACCCTTTTTCCTGTTTCACTCATCAAATCTCATAAAAAATCCCATCTGCTGATGGATCGTTGGGGGGTGTTGTTGACCTGGCGCCACCTGGTGGTAGGAGTAGGAGGTGCTGATAAACAGCACGGAGATTCAAACCAAAAAGTGCCAAAACGACTAAATAATCCAATCAGAGCGACCTTGTTAAATCAACCAAGGATTAAAAAGACGTATTCCATGTTAGTGAGATAATTGTTACAAGCGAAGCCCTTTGCTGTTTGAAGTCGGTAGCTTAGCTGTCCTGCATTTCATTAGTTCAGTTTTAATTGTTTCTGCACATTTTAGCCCAGGAAGGCTTGATAATGGTGTGTAGAGTCCGACCATGCTGCATGTAAACACACTCCAGCTTCCTCCAACAGGATTAGGATAAAGACCGGTCACTACGGGTCATGACTGGGTACCGCCGTTGGTACAGGCCTGCCAGCACCCACATCACACATGAGGAACAACAGGCACACACCGGAACCAAACATCCCATGTTGAGAGTTAAATACCCCCCCCCCCCCCCCCCCCCCCCAACACACACACACCAGCTTGGGCCCTGGCAGGCGCTGCGTTGACCAGTATTACCAATGACAACATTGTTACTGAACGCAGTGCTCTGGTGGGTTAGGCTCCGCCTCACCTCTGCTGGGACCCCGTGGAGAGGAGCATCCAGTACGGAACAGGACTCCCTATTTATGATGGTGTTTCCCTCTTTCAGTCTGGTTTTGCTTTTCCGTCTCACTCCCTCTTTTTCTTGGTTTTTATCTCATTTTCAATATTTTGATGACGTTTTTTGTCCATTGGATATGTATATTTTTTTTAGTAGGGGAGGGAGTGTGGCAGGAAGGCACGGAGCAGACTCCGTTGTCCTGTTGGGAGACACTGAACCTCCCCCCCTCCCCCCTTGCAGAATTAAAGTGTGCTGTAGAATGGCCCGGATATACTATGATTTAAAAGCTGAAAAAAAGGGTTGGAAAAATACAAATGTTTAATTATTTTAAAAAAAATAAAGAGATATTAAATTAAACCTGTTTTATGATAAAGTCCAGATGCCGGATTTCATTTATTTACCTCGGGTGTGTGTGAAGGCCAAAACCAACACTGGTGTCTGAATTTGAATGAAAAGCGTGTGAGGGAAACGTTCTCATCTGTCCAGAATGAGGACAAAGTGGGTGATCAGGGTTAGCTTCATTAGCCTCAAACATCTGCTGCAGCTGTTCCATGAATACATGCGATGCGCTGAAACTTTTCCACACCAGAGCAGGCTTCCTGGACCCATAATGACCAGATTCATCTGGTTCTGAAGGCGCCTCGTGTCTTAACTCTTCTGGTCTTCGTTTCCATTGGACCGGCTCACCGGAGCCGCCTCCTGCAGGATCTCCTCCAGATGTTTTCCAGTTGGAGTGGGAGCTTCTGAGCACCTTAAAGGAGTCAGCAGGATGTCGAGCTTTGTTTTCGGAAACCAAATGAAAAACTGTTCCAGATTTGCTACAACTAATCCTCTCTGAACAAAGCTGGTTGGGTTTTATTTACCAGTGAAAATCAGCTGTTTGGAAGATCCAGCACTAATGAAGTAACGGGATGAGATCAACAACCTTGGGGAGGTAACTAAGGTGTAACAGGAGTTTCTGATAAGGAATGAATTTTTATTTATTTGTTAGCTTTAAATTCAGCACATTAAATGGAAAACCTTCCATTTTTACTGATTTGGTCCTGGTAACGGTTTCATTCAGGTAGTTTTCTCCTCCAGCAGTGTGGTCATGAGTCCAGCAGGTGGCAGAAGAAACGGGGCTCGTCAAGTATCACACTAAAATAAACACGATGCAGCCCACGGTTACGGAATATTAAATGTAATAGATTTGGTTTTTATTAAATACAAAGAAGACCCAGCCTGTTTTGGGGACAATGTCCAGTGGACTGATGTCCTGACCATCTGGAGTCAAACTAACTGCATGGCAGAGAAAACCGAGTTTACCCATTCAGCACACATATGGGCCCTATCTGGGCAAGCTGTATGGGTCCCAACCTGGTTTTGTCAGCAGTTTCCATGGTGGCCCCACAAGGGTTTGCTTAAGGGCCATTCCCATCTGTGCCGGGTAGCCCCAGTCGGCCCCAGCCTGGCCCGGTTGATTCCACACATCCTTGCCTTAAGCCCATGTGGGCTGATTCTACCCACCAATCAGAGGCTTGCTCTAATGGAAGGTGTGAATTTGCTGTCAGCAGTGGGTGTGTTGGTCCTGGTCGGCCTGAAGCAGACCCCCTCGAGAAGAGGGCTGAGAATGAGCCTTGGTTGGCCCGGAAAAATACCAGGCCACCCAGATATGTAAACAACCTACGCTACCCGGCCCGGGCCGACCCGGTACAGATGGGACTGGCCCATTAGAGATCTTTGTCTTCATCGATTTTAAAGGGCTCTACATGGGTTTTCAGAGGGTTTAATATGTTTGTGGGTAAACCCCTGTGGGGCCACTGTGGAAAATGTGGACAAACCCTGGTGGAACCCCGGCTTGCCCATGTAGGTTCCGTATGAGGCCCACCTATGTGTGCTGGCTGGTAGCATCAGTACAACTATAGAGCTCCGGACCCCACGTGACTCAGTAGATGCCATATTGGCAGGAAAAAAAGGTAAACAAACACGGATTGTAAACATGAACTTGAATGGGATCGGCTTGGATTTTACTTCGTCGGAGTTTACTTCACACTTTAAAACCGAAGAAATCGTTTTATATAGTCAGACATTAGACTAAACATCTCCGACCCTTACTGTGCCCCTGGGATACTTTCTAAAAACGCCAGAAGCTGTCGGAGCGAACTTCTTACCGGACCTGGCCGGGGAACCCCTTGGGATTTCCCCGGAGGATGCTTGCCAAAGTGGCTGGGGAGAGGGAAGTCTGGGCCTCTCGATGCTACTGCCCCCGTAACCCGACTCCGGATAAGCGGGTGAAAATGGATGGATGGACAAATAACATAGATTACATGTAAGTAGTTTAAATAGAGTGCTGTGCTGTTTGAATGTATAAACTGAACGCCAAGAGAAATCACTAGTCTGATTTTTTTTCCATGAATAAAATAAATATGTCAGGCAGGAGCGTCTCAGGATCTGTCTGAGATCTGACTCGGTGAGACAGATAATAGCAATCCAAAGTGTTTTTTATGTGTGATCTGACAATTGATCAACTATTGCTGAAAAATGAAATACAGCTTAGCCGGTTAATTGCTGTGATCCTAAAACACGTAAACGGCAGCACGCAGAACTCACGAGGCAACGTTTTACGTGATGTTTACTTGTTGCTGTGAGTAATAAGACAGAAAAAGCCACGCCAAAATAAGTTTAGGAAGCCCACTAAGAATCATAATAAAAGCATTTAAAATAAATACCATACACAGTTGAGGAAACGTTGGTTTAAGTACCTGATATGAAGCGGTCGCTGCATAAGCGAAAACCTTTACTCTCGGGATCTCACAGTTTCATTTTCGCCCGGTCACTAACGCGTTTTATTACAATGATCCAACGTTTGCGGCGCTCCGGATCTTGGGGAATCCTGTAGATGGCTCATTCCTTATGTCGTCCGCGTCTGTTCTGCATCCTGGGGCACAACAGGAATCTACCATATTTCCTGTCTGATTGAGTTTTCTGATAATAACAATCCAGCTGCGGGCTTCTGCCTGCCAATATGGCGCCGTTTCGATTTGAACTGTTGCATGCCGGGAGAAGTGACGTCAACTCCCGGAGCTATATACAGGCAAGGTGAAAAAGAAAAACATTCCTTTAACAACAGTTTTTGGTTTAATGGAACCCTTAAATCCCTTTAAGGATTTAAGGGTTGAGCATGTCCATCAGTGTGTCCTCCAGCTGTAGCGCATCATGAGACAAGGAGTGGACTCGGTAAAGCCTCAGAACAGCCGTGAAGACAGGAGCATGTTCAGACGGGAGCTAATGCTGTTAACAGGAAGTGCGTGTGTGACGTTACAGTCCAGATTGTGTTGTTAAAAATGTTTTTCAGCACTTTGAGGAAGAGAATCATCAGGCAGAGCTACAGACTGGTATGAATACATATGAACCCAAACATTCTCACGTTAGCATTAGGAGGAATACGACCGACCTCTATACTGACTAACGGGGAGAAAACCTGGTCCTTGAAGGTCAGCGAATGCATGTTTTCTATGTGTCCCTGCTCAAACACATCAAGTTGGGATTCTCATTGTAACTCAGTAGCAAGCCTTTGTTTACCTTCTGCTGACACGTTTCTGCTCCTATGAGGACAACACTGACGACGGATACAAGCGGCCGAAAGGGGTCTTCTCCGCAGGGTGCCTGCTCTCCCTTAGAGATAGGGTGAGAAGCTTAGTCATTAGGGAGGGGTTCGGAGTAGACCTGCTGCTCCTCCACATGGAGGAGCCAGGTGAGGTGGCTCGGGCATCTAGTCAAGATGCCTCCTGGACGCCTCCCTGGTGAGGTTTCCCGGGCACGTCCAACTGGGAGGAGACCTAAAGGAAGACCCAAGATACGCTGGAGGGACTATGTCCCTCAGCTGGTCTGGGAACACCTTGGTATTCCCGCGGAGGAGCTGGCCCAAGTGGCTGGGGAGAGGGAAGTCTGGGCCTCCCTGTCATGCTTCTGCGTCAGCTCCATAAGGGACAGACACGCACCAACTGTTTGAAGCATTTTGCTCTCATACTTCCCCGTTTGCTGAAGGGGTGTTGCAAAGCAATTCTCTGCCAGGACAGCAGAGGGCGTAGCGTAGGTAGCAGTACAGTGACATCTTGCTATTTCCTTGGAAATCACTTCCGCGGTCTGAAAAATGGCAAGCAACACGAGAAAGAGAAATTTGATCGAGTTGGGACTGTGTGATCTAGACGAAGCAATGCTTACTGAAATACCAGTGAGAGCATAACAGGAGACAGCGGCGTCGGTGGGGTGTCCGTCCGCTTAACAGGTCTAGGCAGACAAAAGGGAGAATGGCGTCATGACGGAAGTGATGTCCGGTTTCTGGACCGACCAATCACAAGCATGCGTTCTCCATCCCGTTCAACGGATATTAATAAAAGTGGGCTCGACTCCGTATGTACTTGCATGCCTGCCGGAGGGCCTACGCAAGGATGGACAATGGCGTTGCGTGTCTCCGCACTGACGCAGAAGCAGAAGCATGACTCATGCTTTAGGCCGCTGTCTAGGGTTGGGCATCGAGCATCGATTGGAACCGGTTCCAGCTGTTAGTTTTTCTTGGAATCGTTCATAGTTTTTTATTTCGATTCCTGGAATCCGCGGCCGATCTCTGTGAAAAATAAACATGATCTGCAAATTGTGATCCAGGCTTTTCAGAGACGATCACACCAGCTGTCTGTGCGACGCACGAGTCCCCCCTCCCCCCACCCAGATATAAACAAACGCGTCTGCCGACCTTTTAGTCCGTAACGTAAACTTTAACTCCTGCAGCGTAGAGGAAACGTGTTAAATACGTCAACACGGTGGATTTAATAGAAGCTTTAAAGAACAAACTCTGGACGGTGTGAGGTGAGTTTGTCTCACTGCAGAAATAAAAACACACACGGAGCGTCAGCAGTCAGACGCAGCCGCTCACCAACACTCGTGTGTGTGTGTGTGTGTGTGTGTGTGTGTGTGTGTGTGTGTGTGTGTGTGAGTGAGCGTCAGAAGGCTGAACAATAACCTGTAGAATAATTAAAGTCATCATGCTAGAGCAGCTGCTCTGTGGTGGACCACAGCAGCTTCTGCCACAATAAATAATAATAATAATAATAATAATAATAATAATAATAATAATAAATGACATTTTAATTTCCTTTCTGAACTATTTCTGTTGAGTTTTAATGTTTAAATCTGTTAGGTTGTTACTGACAGCAGCTACATTTAAGTTTAAGTATGTTCTGACTGAACGCTGCAGCAGCATGGAGGTGTAGTTCTCAGTCATCCTGGACATGATCATCCTGAGAGTTTTAGCTGAAAACAGCTGCACGTTCCTGGATATGTTGGAGACATTTAGCCTCTCATCCCAGAGGCTGCTTCCA